TTTATTTTATAAATTTATTAAAATATTTTTTAAAAAATATAAAAAATAGTTTCATTAACGATATTTAAATAAATTTATAACATAAATAGCACTTTTAATGTTCGTTAACTTTGTAAAACACTTTTTAGTATGATTAATATAAGGATAATAATTAATATACACTTCAATTTAATATACTACATAATACATTTATTAAAAAATTATTATTTTTTGTTATGAAATTAAAGACAACTAAATTTAAAGATGCATGTATGTATATAAGATTTAGGAATTGATTGTATTTATATTATATTTTAATAATTAAACCAAGACATATATCAAAATATGTATTGAACCGAATTTGTATTAATTATTTTCCTTAATACAATTAAAGTAAATTGTAATCTTGATTAATTGAAATTTTCAATTTACTTAATTAAGTTGATTTATTAAAATTTATGGTTAATTAAATTTAGAGAAAAGTGAAAATTAGGATATTTTGATATTTATATTATTTAGTATACTTATGAAATTATTCAAATATTTTTAATAAATCTTTATTGCATTAATTCATTAAGAGTACTTAAATAATTTTCATTATTATTTTTGATATTTTAGTTGTTAGGATGGTATGATTTTCTTTAATTTTATTAGAAATTTTTTAACCTGTATCTTAAAAGTATAGGCTAAATGTGCATTTATTATACTTTTTTACTATTAATTTACATAAAAAATAAAAGCTAACTTACCATTCATTTGCATCATTTCACATAACATTGGTGTTGAAAATAAAATTTATTTTTCATAATTTTTATATAAATTACTGATAAAAATATATAATAAATATACATTATTAACATGTATTTTAAAGACATATATTAGAAAACCCATTTTTCATGGGCAATACTTATTAATATGAGATGTGATTCATTTACACACATAAATTTTAAACATCATGTTTATATAAAATTTTAACTATTTATCTATTTATTTTTAATAATTGATATTTATCATTTTTTTAGGTAAAAAAGATCATTACTTTTAATAAATCTTAACTATTAAAAAGATAAAAGACCAATAACTGAAATTTTATATAAATAAAATATATAAATTTACATGTAAATGAGTTGTTAGGCTATTGATATCATTCTTCTGTAGCTCAAAAGCGCAAAAACGTCATTAATACATGCTTGGCAAAATCATTGATTTTCCTTAATCTCATTCTAATAAATTTCTATAAGTTTAATTATCATTTTGCCCTTTCATTCTTATGACATGTGAAAGATTAAATAGGTGTTTGAATGCCATGTCAGCACTCCATTAGCATCATATAAGCAACCGTTAGTACCAGGAGCACCCTGGTTAGCGGCTATTAACGGAGCGACCACGCGAGGTTTCTTTACCAAAGTTCAAGGAGTTTT